TCTAAGTAATACCAACTTTTAATGATAAATCTTTTCAGGTAAAGTATTAAAAAAAGAACACGTTTTCCTGTGTAACTAACTGGAAATCGTAATGTGAGTTCACATTAAATTACACTAACAAAATGAAATGAAAGTTGTTTTTAATGCTTGTATTCATCTGGTTAACATTCAAGAATATTTTATTGAAAGTTCATTATTTTAAACCTGATTTTCTATTCCAGTTTTAACTTTTGTACTAGTCAACCTAATTCTCTCATGGTAGTGGTCATGATAAATTAAGAAAATTGTTTCTTTGTACTTTATTTGTTTTAAGTAGTTTAGTAAATTATACAAAATTTATTTACGGGTGGGGGGCACCTGTACAGATTTATTTGCATAGGTTGAATTCTGCTAAACTTACGATCAAGTAAATTCTGTAACAAAGATAAACAATAACAATAAGCATTGCGAATGTTTTTATGATTTATGAAGTGAAGTCCTGATCGGATCCGTGAGCCGATTATTTCTTAATTATCAGTATAGGGGTTGTGGAGATTATTAAATTTTGGATTGAGATCATGAACCGATTGATGTTAGACACTAAAATCATTGGATGCCGGCTTAGTGGTCCAGTAGGTTAATCATCCGCGCGCGAGACTTAAGACCGTGGGTTTGAATCCCGCTAGTGGGATCGTGCGTGCGCAATGCCGAGGAGTCCCACAATAGGGCGAAACGGCCGTCTAGTGCTTCCAGGTTTCAAACGTTGATCTAACATCAATCGGTTCATGATCTCAACCAAAAATATTTCTTAATTGTTCACGCATTCACATAGATTTTTCTGTTTAAGATTTAATTCTATTTTACTCTAGCCGATTTCCAAAAAACGCTTAAAAACCTTACACAATATGTAATATTATAAAATTATTACGTAATCATTGCGGTTGTTGGTTAGTTTCTCTTTTGATCATCTTTTATTATAACAAGAAGTGTTTACTTGATTAGTCCATTATAAACTATCCAATAAAAAGGTATGGATCAAACTTGAAACTATCTAATCTTCATTGAAATACACATATGTATACTGAATAGTTACAAGTTAAGTGGTTGTTATGCAAGAGTTCCCTAAATATTGTACATTGTGTAAAGTGAATTCTTCTGTCTAACAGAACATAATTTATTAACTAAAATAAATGTTATGAATATAAACATTTTTTACAAGAATTTCCAAAGGGAAACTTTAGCATATCCGTCCAAAAAATATTTGAAGTTATCTTATATGGATTTGTAGTGAATGAGAACACAAATGGGGACAATCGAATGTCTTAGAACACAAAATTACAGAATCTCCTGGTAAAATCTAAGAATCATACAGTAATTATTTCATTTGTAAAATGTCAATCAACTGTTCCTTCGTTTCCAAACCAATCACTCTCTGTTCTTGTTCTTTTCTCTTCGATTTTCTCAACTTTCTGATGCTAGTCATTCTATTTTCGAATAATGATACATACTACTTATATCTGTCAATATCAGTAGCACTTCACGAAAATCAGTACAGGAATTTAATACGATGTTATTATATAACTACTGGAAAAAACACTATTCTTATTCATTACAAAATAATTATGGAAAAGAGAAGAGGTGGCTCCGTAAGGATCAGTTTCAGACATTTCTTCCCCTTTAAGACGATAGAATTAGATATCGCTGAAATTTTAACTAACTGTCTAATTGGTATTTTATCAAACTGAATGAAAATAAACTTGTGAATTCGACCTGCGTGAATATCTGAGCTATCAGTTCCTACTATATAGATATCTCAACAAGTTATCTGTTTCTTTCTTTCTTTGTTTGTTTTAATACATCATGATGTCAATTAATTGCATAACCTTTTCAAGTACATTTGTGGAAACTGTACAACCTTTCATTGTACAAGTTACAAAAGAGCCCAAACCGAGATATCATAAGTAATGGTGTGGTGTGTGCTACTTATATTGACATAAGTAGTATATGATTTTAGTCGTGAACAGAAGGTCTGACAGCAAAGAGACAAGAGGATTAAACAGTAAAGAATAGAAATAGGATGCAATTTGTATGAGAATGCAAGAACAATGAAGTCTGAGTCATTTTGAGACAATTGATGGACATTTTGCAAATTACGTACTTACTATTTGATTGTTAGATTTTATTAACAAGTCCTGTAATTTTGTGTTAAATACATTCAATTGTCCCCACTCGTGTTCTCTTCACTGCTCTGGCAATATGCAGTGAAAAAAAGTGTACATTATTTAGATGTCGCTTGAGTGCGCTGCTAACTTCTAACTGGTGATCATTGAATACACCATCGTAAGGATTGACCAAGAAGTAAGAAAATGGAAACGTTTTGCTGAGAATTTTATTTTGTACCAAATTATAGATGATATTGAATAGAGTCATCAATAATAATAGTAGTAATAATAATAATAATCTAATTTTTAACATTCAGGTCGATAAATACCAGTTCAAATGTACAAATACATTAGTTGAGGGAAATGTAAGAAGAAAAAGAAACACTTTTAGTTAAGTCATTGAAGAGAAGAGTTTATTGAGATCAGAAGAATTTACACGTAAAAAAACCCGAATTTGAATCTCGCATGGGGGATTGTGGATGCACACCGCTGAGGAATCTCATACTAAGACGAAATGGTCGTCTAGTGCTTCCAGGCTTTTCATGGTGGTCTAGCTTGAATCAGTTCACGAATTCAACTATTAAATTATTACGGTCTCTACGAAACTACCTTTTAATAATAACCATCATGTGCTCACTAATGACTGGCTTCAAGAGGTATTTCCTGAAATTGTAATGAAAAGCTATGACCAGTAGAGATCAACTGTGTCTGTTGTGAGGCAGTTAATCACTAAAGACCATAATGGACAATCGCTCAATATCGTGGATTGATTGAAGTTAGACATTAACAACGTTGAATACCGGCTCAATGATGTAGAGATGAAGTGTTTGCCCGTGAAACAGACTGAAGGTCCTGGATTAAAGCTCTGCTAGGTGGATCGTGGATGCACACTATTGATAAGTTTCATCCTAGGACGAAACGGCCGTTCAATTCTTCCAGGTTTTCTATAGCGGTCTAGATTAAATCGACTCATGAATTCAACCATTAAAATTTACTATAAATTCCACACACCCTCTTTTGAAAACAATCACTTATTGGAGTCTTTTTTATGAATATACACACTGTTAATAAATCGGTGAATCTACATATTTGAATAAGAAAAAAACAACAACTTTCCTTCGTTTCAATAGTGTTACAGAGTATTATGTACGTTAAAATGGTTAGCAACAATAATTTACCTAAATCACATGGGTAGAATATAAACTTTGGTATGATACATTAAATAACTGGAAATAACTGGAAACCTGGAAGTACTGGATAGCCGTCTCGTCCTAATATGAGACCCCTCATCAGTAAGCATCCAATATCTCACACCAGACCGATAGGTTCTAGGTTTCAGTCTCTCGTGCGGAATCATAGATGCGCACTGCTCACGTGTCCCATACGAAGACGAAACAGCCGTTCAGTGCTTTCATTTTTTAGTGGTGATCTAACATTGATCGATTCATAGTCTCAGTCAAGATGCATTATATTGGTAATAGTTTATAATGACCCGTTGTTTATATTCAGAATGAAATTTTATTCAGTTAGTATTAGGATATTTGAATCTTGAGCAGATTGAGTTGATGTAGACTTTATGTCGTAAAATTAGGATTCAAAAACAAAAGAAACAGATACTACACTGAAGTCTCAGATTCAACATCAAGACTTAGTTCTATGGATATACAAGTGATGAGTTACAGATGTGATGAAACGTGTAGTCCGGATTCCGCTGTCAATCACATTCCCTATAAACTAAACGATTCATAGCGATTTAAACATAAAAGTTAGAAAATATCTTCATTGTGAGTTCATGAAAGTCTACTGTTCGATTTTCAATCCAAAATTAATTGCTCAATGCTGATGGGTACTAAAATAAAGCGAAACACTTCTCCACTTCGACTTAGTCTACATTGCTTTAAAAAAAATATTGTCTGTTTATCCTCGTTTATAATCAAATAACCATTCGAAACTAAATGCATAATGTATGATTATACGACACATAAACAACGATTACGTATGTAATGAAGCTACACTAATAACATCAATATACAAACTTATTACCTCAAATCTCTTTGAACAACCTAATCTCAAATAAAACATCCCAAATGCCCTGGCACGTCTGTGAGTGGTGAGAGTCATCTCGCCCTCTCGAAATATTCTCACATGGCCACATGCATATAGCAATTGACAAAGAAATCCTACTTACTGCCTTCTCTCGGCGGGGCTTTTATTCACGAAATTAAGAGAACAAAAAGCGAATGTCCGATGCTTTAACCTGGTTGCTGTATACGAAAAGTCCACCTAGGAAAGTCGAAAAACTCTGATTTCATACCAATGTTTCATATAGGCTCCAGGATCTTGAGCAGAACAAAAGTCATATGAACCTATTATTAGTCACCGTCTACCAATGGGACCTGTATCTCCTGATGCTGCTCCACTACCTTACGAATCAGACTTTTAAGTCGAACGCTTCGAATATGGCTCCCTAAGAAAACTACCTGCTTTGGTTTGAGCACCGGAACATAATCACAGCCCACACACATATCAAATGACTTATATAGTGTATATTTATTTAATTCCCCTTTGTATCAATATTTATATGTTCAAATAAAATAATTTTTTTTGATTGAGACCATGAACCGATTGATGTTAGACCACCTTTGGAAACCTGGAAGTACTAGACGGCCGTTTCCTCCTATTGTGGGACTCCTCAACAGTGCGCATCCATGATCCCGCTCGCGGGATTCCAACCCAGGGCCTTCGATCTCGCGCGCGAACGCTTAACCTACTGGACCACTGAGCCGGCATCCAATAAACATCTCTCTCAATACAAATCATAATTTATTAAATAATTCAATTCATATATACATAACTTACTAATAATAGTTAAGATAAACATTAGTACCATATATGTGTTCATTTTATCGCTGTTGCTGTTGTTTACTTTTTTATTTTTCTTTCAAGAAAATTTACTTCTTCTTTTGTTTGTTCTGGTTAATTAACTTGATTCTTTCACTTATTTATTCAATATTCAATATGTTTCTATGATAAGTGATAAAAGAGAATAATTTACATTAAAAGTTTTGTATTTATAGAGTGGGATAAAAGTTTTTTTCTTCTTCTAACTTTTTCAACTGTACTACTATTGGTTTATTTCTGGTTGAAATAATGATTAGATCACACAATTATTTATTTATTTTTTTTTGGTAGGGGGAGGGAGAGGATGGAATCATTATTTTCGTCTGTTCAAATTACCCAGCAACAATAACCAAAATAAAAAAAATAATTGTCGATAAAATTAATTTGATTGGTCGAAAATTAGAAAAAAAAATAAATTTTTTTGTAGGTGAAAAAGATTTCAACCAATCAGAATTTGATGATTTATATTTTTAAAAATGAAAATTATATCAGATGCTCATATAACATATGCTCACTAGTGACTGGCTTCAAGAGATACTCCCGGAGTTCTAGTGAGAAGCCGTTACCAGTGGAGTTTCAACCATGTCTGTTGTGAGATATCAACTCACTGAAGACAATGGTGAATGTGTTGCTCAATTTCGTGGATTAGTTGAAGTTAGACATTAACACCGTTGGGTGCCGGCTCAGTGGTCTAGTGGTTAAGTGCTCGGGCGCGAAACCAGTAGGTCCTGGGTTCGAATCTCGCAGGGGGCGAGGTCGTGAGTGCGCACCGCTGAGGAGCCCGACAATAGGATGAAACGTTCGTCCAGTGCTTCTAGGTCTTCCATGTTGGTCTAGCTTCAATTGACTCATGATCTTAACCATTGAAAATTATATATATATATATATATATATATATATATATATATATATATGTATATTAGGAACTTTTATGGTTGAATTCATGAGTCAATTAAAGCTAGACTACCATGGAAAACCTGAAAGCACTGGACAACTGTTTCATCATAGTATGGGACTCCTCAATAGTGCGCACCCAGGACCCTGCCCCACGAGATCTGAACCCAGAACCTATTAGTTTCGCGAGCAAACGGTTAACCTCTAGATCACTGAGCCAGCACTACAATCTCCACACCCACCCACATTCTGTAATTTAGTTGTTTACAATTCAACTAAACATTGATAAGTATTCTTGAGATTAGATATAACTAAATAATAAAATACTTTTAAAACTAATTAAGTGTATCGTTTATTAATGAAAAGAAAAACAGAATGTATATTCATTAAAGCAGATTTTACGGAATGACAATGAATTTTCAAAAAAAATTTTATTGATTTTTTTTAGAAAAAAAATGTTTAGGGGGGATAGTTTAATTCGACTCTGATAGATAGCGATGAGAATAATGGATGGTAACTATTGAGATCTATTTATGGACTACTACTATACATACACTTCTTATTATGTAGTTGTTAAGTAGCTAAACTATATGCACATTCATGTTCCTCCTATTGTAAGCTTTATTTTGGCCCTTAATTACTTACTTATACCTGTAACTCCCAGTGGAGCATAGCCCACCGAACAGTGCTCTCCAACCCATTTTGTCCTCCACATTCCTTTCTACTCATATCCAATTGTTCTTCATTCTTCTCATGTATAACTCCATTTCTCAGTGTAATGTGTTCTTCTTTCGTCTTCCTCTTCTCCTTTATTTAGCATTGAGGATTCCATGTGAGGACTTGCCTTGTGACACAGTTGGGTGCTTTCCTCAATGTGTGTCCAATCCACATAAGACTCTTCTTCCTGATTTCTTCCTCCTATGAAATCCGGTTTGTTCTTTCCCACAGTAGGTTGTTGACCCAAAGAGTATTATTATACCATTTGATGTTCTTGAGTTATGTCAAGTCTATTAATTACAGTCTCCCACATTCACAGCCACTTTTATGGTTGATCTTGTATAAATGTTATTTTCTATTTTATGGTACGATGTGGTCTGTTTGGTTTGTATATAAACCCCGTATGTTTGAAATAAACGATTCATATCGCAGAGGTTGATATTAGTGTTCTAGACTCTAACAGGCAGGGTTGGGCAGGGAGAAGGACCAATAAGGAATTCTCGTACCGGTTTTATGCGTCACTGGTCCTATCGATAAATCACTACTCTCTAATTGGCGGTATCATTACGTTATACATTAATAGTACACAAGGTCACAAGTTATAAAACACTACTTCTCCATTTTCTCTCAATATTATGATAAGTTATTATAATTTTTCTATGGAATTGATATACCTGAAGGCTGAAATTAACCTAATTAAACTCTTCGACTATGTAACACTGAATGAGCTCAATTACAGATGGAAAGAGAATACATCTTACAAATGTGCTTAAATGTAGTTCAGCTTTTCATGTATGAACTTCACTAACTTGAAATTTAACTGTAAACTAATGGATAGAAACCATGAAACAGTATTACTAGTAATGTAAGTTATGAAGATTGTATGGAACTCCTAAGTAGTGGATATACTAGGACGAAACAGCTATCTAGTGCTTCCACGTATTCATTCATGGTCTAGTTTAGATTGACTCGTGAATTCAACTTATATTATTGACGTAATGACTTTGTCAATAGTGTTAATATCATTTTGTAAATGATAAATGTCCACAGATTTGTCAGTAGTATTTTAACAATTTTCTAAATTCAACACACATGATTTGATACCTACGAATATAAGTCGTTGTAATTTACAAGTTTTTCTATCATAAGGCAACCTTAACTTGGAATCCTGAAGGGAAGCGGAAAAGAGGAAAGCCAAAGAACACATTAAGTCGGGAAATAGAATCAGATATGAAAAGGATGAATAACAACTGGAAAGACCTGGAAAGGATTGTTCAAGATAGAGTTTGGTGGAGAATTCTGGTAGGCGGCCTATACTCCTCCACGAGAAGTAGTAGGCGTAAGTTAGTATGCATTCCTTTACAAAACATTTTGTTTGTAATAAATGTAGACTAAAGTTATCTTAATCAGTTTTTTCGCCTATGGAAAACCATTGTTTGTTCAGCTTAAAATATACGTCATTAATGAGAGCATGTAAAGTTTCAAAGAAGATCCAATTACAATATAATCTCAACCTATATTTCGAGATATCCTATAAGCTACGTTTGATTCTTCGAAACGAACGGCAAGACAGTTTGACTGTAGGAGCTGAAACGTGGAGAATTACTACAATCGTCATCAAAATGGTACAAGTATTTATAAACAATTGTCCATGTAAGATACGGATTGTCTGTTGGATGGATACCATCAGCAGAAACATACTGTGAGAGAGAACATACGAACTTTCAAATGAAGAAAAAATTAGGAAAGTACTCTAGGTGGATATGACATAGTTTGTGGAAATAATCAAAGTGCATTACGGGGGAAGCACTAACTTGGAATCCTGAAGGGAACCTGAAAAGAGCAAGGCCAAAGAGCACATTACATCGGGAATTGAAAGCAGACATGAAAACAGTGAACAACAGCTGGAAACAAGTGGAAAGGATTGAATGGGGAGTGTTAGTTGTTGTCCTATGCTCCTCGACGAGGGTAACAGGTGTAATTAAGTAAGCAATAACATCGATAAATATATTTTGTAAAGTTCTGATGTAATTCAACACAGTCTTTAAGAACAAAAGAATAGGAAAGTTTTAAATTTGACATAGCACTCATTGTTTAATAATTTTACAGACGTTTCTGGTGTTAGGCAGTTACCCACTGAAGATGGTGAATTACTTGAAGTTTTACATTAATACCATAGAATCCTGTACCAGTAGTCTAGAGGTTAGACGTTCGCGTGCAAGACAGACCGAAAATCCTGAGTTCGAGTGATCTCGTGTGTGGGATCGTGGATGTGCACTATCGAGGAGTCTCATACTAAGAAGAAACAGCTGTCCAGTGCTTCCAAGTTTTCAATGACAGTCTAACATTGACCAGTTCATGATCTCAATTAAAACTCATCATTAATACTTTCATAATTAAAATGATCACATAGATCATATCAACTCATAGAATCAATCAATGAGTTCTAATTAAGTAAATGTTATAAGATTTAATAGTCGAATTCATGAGTCAATTAAAGCTAGACCACCATAGAAAACCTAAAAGCACTGAATAACCGTTTCGTCCTAGTATAGGACTCCTCATCAGTGGCCATTCACAACCTCACTTGGAGGATTCAAACCCAGGATCTTTGACCTCGCATGCTGGCGCTTAAGACATAAACTCTAGTTAATTGATTAAATATATTTCACAAAAGATAAAACTGACTTGTTTATAGGGAACTTCTATTTATCAAAAAGATAATTTGGTTTTTACAAAGGAAGAAACCATTTGGAAAATAATTTTTTTAGAAAAAACTAAAAGTGAATGATGAAAACAAACAAAATGTTTGAGTAATCAATTCCTTCTTCTATAGAATAATTAAAGTATGGGATGAATATGGTGGTAGTGACGGTGGTGGTGTTCCAACCAGAAACATCTGCTGAAGCCTACTATGAATTAGATACAATAGATTGGGTGATGGGTTCGATCTCTATAACCTCCTAGGTAGGTTAACAGGATTGCTCCCACTGTCTGTCAGCGCCACAAGCAAGTCTTAGGTCGGATTTCTCTTCGTGATAAATATGATATGTATATATATTCAGTAATCAATGTCATGTTCGTTTAGTTGTTAATGTGTTGATAGAATTCTATCGATCAAGTTGCAACATGTATCTACTAGTCTAATCGATACAACATTAGAACTCTGTGGAAGAGAACAAACTAACTTCCATCTGAGAAGGAAATTAGAAAAAGATACTGAAGGTAGATAGGGCATATATTGAGAAATTAATCAAATTGCATCACGAGGCAAGGAAAAGAGAAAAGCCGAAGAACATACAACGTCGGGAAATGAAAACCGATATGAAAAGGATGAATAACAACTGGAAAGACCTGGAAAGGATTGTTCAAAATAGAGTTTAATTGAGATTACTGTTGAGCGGCCTATGCTCCTCCATGAGAAGTAATAGGCATTATTAAGTAAACAATGTTAAAACTAATAGAGAAGAAACCATGACATACATTATAAGTTGCCTTAAGTTAAAACTAATCCTGTACAGTATTGTATTCGTTATGCAAATAACTGGAAATCTGTATGATTTTCATAATATATAACAAGGGTATTATATTTCGCATAAATTCTTATCACATTTA